CCGCAGATTGCGAGTCGAGCGTCCTAACCACCTGGCCATGCCGGGCCTCAACTTGAATGCGTGAGTACTGATATCTAAATCTAGGTTGTTTGCTTTGTTTTTAGTGGAAGAGGTTTTCTATAGAGTGAGCTCTGGCAGGTAAGTTTATAAAGCTATATCCAGAAAACCTTGATAATTCAGTATAAGGATAGCGTCTATATATCTGCAGTCGTGACTGACTTACAGAGCTTTACTGTAATATTTCCTAGTAAGGTTTCTAGTCTGAATAAAGACAGAGCTACAACTTGCAGACTGAAGTCACTTCCCATTGGAAATCCCTAAATGTCTCAGCGGACATGTTTGCCGAAATGCACATATGTGTTATCAAGTAAAAATACATGACCTACACGAATTCATTTAACGTGAAATAGTGGTAATTTTTGTGAGTTACATTGCCATAGAAAGTTGTGTGATTATTGGCGCTGAGTATTAACTTACCCGAATTATTAAACTACCTTGCAATTGTTGATGAAAAACTTCAATGATGGGATATTTACTATGTAATAATCTAAATGATCAATAACTTTATTTTTACCCATGAGACAGTCATTGTTGCTAGTCGTGAATAACGTTAGATATGTTATCCATTAATTGATTGTGTTTTTAAATTTATTTATCCACTTTCTAAGTACAATTACATTTGAATTTAGTTTTTAACTCTATTTATGTAAAAATTTACTGATAGGTATAATAACTATTGGACCTCTTGACCCAGAAGTCACCAATAAAGTGTTCGCATAGCTAACATAACAGACACTCAGGTCATCGTACTTAAGATTTAAGTACTTAAGTCAAAATCGCAATTATCAAGTTCATAAGCATTTCAATCACATATATTGATCATCAATGATTTTCTGATTTTACTTATTCAAATCTGTAATTGTAATCTCCTTAATTACATGTCTTAATTTTAGTCACACAATTTTGATTATATATTTAATATCAAACAATATTTTTTACTCCAATTTATTATAAGTTCACTTCACGTGACCATCCACTACTTTAGTTATGATATAATCCATGTCAGACCTTCTGGTAGACCTGTAGTAAATTTTTCTAATACCCATCACGGCACACCCTCTGATGGTTCTACGTTGAACTATGAAGATCCTCCTTCGGGACGTCACAGTACGTGATACCAAATCCTGGGGTTAATAAAAACTTAAATTAATTTGTATTTAGTTGCGATGAAGGAAAGTTCGTTTCTCGTTACATTATAATTTCTTCATTAATATGTTTAGAAGGACTATAATCTTTAGTGAGGGTTGCTATTGTACGTTCTCACTGAAGATAAATGCTTGTTGTTATTCTGTTAAAAGTTTAATCATTTTAGATCAAGTCATAAATGCGGAATCAGTTTATTAATAATTTAAGTTTTGCGTTTAATAATGACTCCATCTTTTTTATTCCGCATGTATTAAAACAACAGATATGACGGTATACATTTTATGTTTTCGTTTCAGTGCCATTAGTGTATATTACGGAACTATATTTAGCTCAACTCGACTTACTGCAATGAGATGCAGGTACCATTATCAGGTTACATATAGCACAGATATCAATATATATAAAAGCCAAGTGTCGGTCGGTCAGTCAGTCGGTCAGATCAAATTTCGTGAGTTACACGAGTCCATTTTCATTTTTTCTCCCATAATACTTCCTCTTTTGATTGCCTGTTCCCATTTTAGTTGAATTTAATCGCTAACATAAGCTAACATAACAAGAGC